GCCGGGGCCAGCAGGCTGACCTGGCGCAGGATCTGCAGCCGGCCGCTGCCCGGCAGCTCGTCCGCGCCCTGCGCCACCAGGGCTGGCGGCACGATGTTGACCGCGGCGGCCGCGGCGGCGGCGGCGGCGGCCGCGGCCTGGACGATGCTGTCGGCCGGCGGCACCTGGTGGCCCACGATGATCTTGACCCTGCCCTCGCCGAACGCGGGCACCTGGCTGGGCTGCAGGGGCACCTGCAGCTGCCCCACGGCGAGGGGCGCGGCGGGCTGCTTGCCGGGCGCCAGCTGGAACTGCAGCACGGCCACGTCGGCGTTCTTGCTCTCGCCGTACTCACTGTGCTGCCGCTTGTGGCTGCGGAGCGAGTCCTCGCGCATGAACGAGGCGTCGCACGAGTCGCAGTGGAACGTCTTCTTGGCGTCCAGCCTGGCCACCTGGCGGCCGCCCGGCCTGCCCGCGTCCCTGCGCTCCAGGGCCTCGGCCTGCGCCGCGTCCGCGTGGAACTTCTTCACGTGCTTGCTGAGGTTGCTGGGCTGCTTGGTGTCGAAGCTGCAGTGGCTGCACTTGAACGGGCGCTCGGCGCAGTGGATGCGCTCGTGCACGCGCAGGGCCGCCTTGCTGGAGCATGAGTAGCTGCACTCGGCGCACTTCTCCGGGTGCTCGGCCTGGTGCACGCGGCTGTGCTTGCGCAGGGTGGCCTTGCTGTCGCCCGCGAAGTCGCAGTGCGGACACTTGAAGCTGTTCCCGCTGTGCTTGATGCGCACGTGCGACTTGAGGTTCCCCTTCATGGTGCAGCGCACGTCGCAGAACTCGCACTTGAAGGGCTTCTCCCCCGAGTGCACGCGCATGTGCCGTTTCAAGTCCGAGCTGATTTTGAACTTGGCGCTACAGAGCCAGCACTGGAAGGGGGCATCCCCTGTCAACACAAGGTGAGTTTCCATAAGAACAGGCAGGCAACACCACCGCGGATCCCCCCCAGCACACACCCAGGGGGGGCTCCTCTACCTGCGGCTCCTGGGCAGGGGGCTGGGGGTGGGGGGGAAGGGCTTCGCTGCTCGCCCCCAGCCTGAGCCACCACCTCTGTTATCAAACCCAGCAGGAAACCAAAGCAAACCAAACCAAACACCAAACCGGCAGGGTGGAGGAGAGCTATTCAATCGTCCCAGATAAAACACGATTTGCAAACACACTCAGGTTCTTTAAAATAATCACGCTTAAGGCGCCCACTTGGCTAGTCAGTGGTTCACGGCCGCACACTCTTGCGTTTTCCGCTGGTTCTGATCGGCTTACTGGGAACAGATTCACTTTCAAATGGCTCAGCTCCAAGCTCCACACAACGGTTGAGACACCCAGCTTATGCTTCATGCGGATTTTTATGAATAAAGATGTGTTTATTGCACACAATTTATCCCACATTTTCCAGCTGCCTTCTTCACTCGTGAAGTTACAAAATCCAGCTGCTTGATTTAAAAAAAAATTTCGTATCTGCTGGAAGATGAGCAGGGAAAGTCAAGTTGCAAGCATCTGAATTGATCGGAGACTCTGCATTTATTTCCTCAGTGACCGCCAAGTCCAGATTATCTAAGGCACAGATGATTCAAACGGGTGACGCCCCTGTGTCAATATTGTGCACACAAGTGGAAGAGCAGCCGCTGCTTTCTTCCATTGCTTCTGCCAGGTGGAACGCTGCACTAGAGTTGTCTCCCATGATGCTGGCACCAGCCCCGTGAGGTGGGCACTCTGGCCGGCACCCTTAACACCAAGGTCCAGAGGAGGACGCTGACGCCTACAGGACTAGGAGACTTGCTCATGGTCACCCAGGAGGAGGGTGGCAGGGCTGGGACTGCAGCCCAGGCTGATTCCAAAGCCGATATTCTTTGCTGCTACATAATTATCTGCACAATTAACCCATGTTCTCTTTCTTAGGTCATCAGCTCCAAAGACTGGGATTGTGTTCCAGCGTTTTGGCTTAGGGTCAGACAACATGACCACCGGCTTCTTAATAAATGCAACTAAAGATGGCAGGGAGCAGTCTTTGAGAAGCTTCTCGAAAACCAAGCCTAAACCTAAACAATGGTTTATGTGAGTAAACACCACCAAGATAAGTACTCTAGACTCTAGAACAAGGGATAGTAAGCAACAGCCTGTAGGTCAACTCGTGTCCATGGCTTAATTTTACACATGGCTACTCTCACACTTTAGTAGCAGGGGTGAGTAGCTGTGACAGAGACCATATGGCTCCAAAGCCCAAGATGGTTACCCTCCGGCCCTTTTCTGCCCTAGGATGTCCCATCCCCCCACTTTTTATGCCATCACCCCTTTGGGGTGGTTTCACGAAGCCCATGGAGTCCTTCTCAGAATCATGTTTCAAATGCACAAACTAAAGTGAAATCACAGGAATACAAGAGAAACCGATTATATTGAAATAGTTATTAAGCCACTAAAAGGGAAAACGTGTGAGCTGGCAATGTGCGGGCCTCCCTGACGCAGTAGCAGGATGTGCAGGTCTCGTAGGCACGGCAGTTCACAGAGAACGTGAAAGATGCTCTCATCTGCTCACCACCACTGTGACGGAGACATCTGTGGCTTCTACCGGTGCCGAGTTCACACGCACTGCTGTCGACTATTTTCATAATTGCAGGCCATGTCAAATTTCGGTACAGCTGAAGATGTGATTTTTTTTTCCCATCCAAGTTCATGGACCTGCTGAATTCTACTCATGGATTCCTGGGGGAAGATGTCTGTAGACCCAAAGTTAAGAATCCAGAATGTTCTAGTAGGTTTTCTGCTTATACAACCCTGCCCAGATTATAGTCACAGGTTTTTGTTTTGTTTTTTAAAGCAAAGAGCAGAAGTGAAACTCAGAACAATCAGATACTCAAATCTTACTGCTAGGGTACACAGCTTAACAACAGTTTCTGATATGAAAGCAAAGAATTTAAATCCCTTTATCTCTGTCTTTTTTACCTTTTTTAAAAAATGTTTATTTTCATTTATGTGGAAGGTAGAGTGACATACACAGAGAGAGAGGTCTTCCATTTGCTGATTCACTCCCCAAATGCCTGACATAGCCAAGGGCTGGTCCAGGCTGAGGCTAGGAGCCCAGGATTCCATCTGTATCTCCCACATGGGTGGCAGGACCCAAGCACTTGAGCCATCATCTACTGCCTTCCAAGGATGCATTACAAGGAAGCTGGATTGGAAGTGGAGGAACCAGGACTTGAACCAGCACTCTAATATGGGATACAGCCCAGGAAGTGGCTTAACCTGCTGTGCCACAGCACCAGCCAAGTGAGGTGCACTGGTCAGACAGTCCCTGGACTGTAACCTCTTCAAGGCTAATTAATGTGTTTGTTGCTGACCACTTCCTGATCTCCAGTGTCTGGTGCACAGAGAGGCTTTAGTGATGTTGTAGAATGAATAAGCAACTGATATTTTTAAGCTACAGAGCTTTCTTGAGTACAGATTGCTACGAAAATGCCTGAAGGTGTAGCTCATCAAATCAGTGGAAGCAGAAAGGAGGGATCCTGTGAATTTAAAAATTTCACAAGGCCACAGCTGTATGAAAGGGAACATGAACATTCCATGAAGAGAAGCCCTAAATGGCACCTATTTAAATTTTTAGAAAAATACATCTTTCCTAAAATACATCTTTTCTAGACCAACTTAGAGATGCCACTACAAGTAGTAAGTTCATCCTTATAAGTCCAAATGAGCCTATTTCATAAATGAATCCTTCAGTTTCTCTGACTCAGGCTGGGGGAATTCCTGAGGAAAACCATTCGAGCATCAGTTATGGTTATGCAATGTCCTCACCTCCCACTCCTATAGCCAGGGCCTCTGTGTGCTCACCACCCATCAAGTGCAGGGTGATCTGCCGTGACCATGATGACAGGCTCAGTCATGTTACTGGATTTGCCCAATGCTGTATTAAGTAGACTTGACACCAGTAATGGCTTGAAATGCACTTGTCATTGGGGCTTACTCACACCTTGGTCATTGCCACATAATGGTCACTCCTGGCCTAGCCCCCTGATCCCAGAAGGATGACAGGTGTGTGCAGCAGAGCTGGCTACCCCAGCCAAGCCAGTGGGCAGCCAGCCCATGGCCAGCAGGTCTGCGGACTTGTAAGTCAGCTTAGCCAAGATCAGCAGAACTCCCTAGTGCCAGCTGCTGATGGCTGACACGCGGACAGATAAGGCACAGGGCGGTGCTGAAGGAGTTGTGTGGGTTTTTTGTGATGATGCTGCATCATGGTCATGACAGATAGTCACATGGATATTGGTATCTAGAAATGAGATGTTGCCGTAACCAAGAACCAAAGCACGTATTGGTTTTGGGATTGGGTTGCAGTGAAGGCTGGACAAATGGCAAGGTACACCATGCAAAGGCAAACACTTGATAAAACTGCCAAATGCAGTGACTCAGGACAGAAAATTCACATAATGAGTTTTGGACTTGAGAAGGAGTAAACTCCAAGTAAAACAGTGCAAGTATTTTCTAAGTTGCATGGGATAAGGCACTGAAAGAGACAGACTCCAAACTCAACTTGCCATTTGCAAAGCCAGACTTCAGAGGGAACAGAGAAAGTAAAAAGATTTGTAGAATAAGGTTTCTCATCCCCAGCCAGCATAGCCAGTCAGATTTCCAAAGTCACCTCCGAAAGAATCCACAGGAAGACGAAAGCCTGGGGACAAAGATCATGTCTAGGGGATTGGTCTCAGAGCAAAGACCCAGAAAGAAATGTGAGACCTGAATGTAAGACTCTTTGTTAAGTTGGTGTCAGGTGGATTCTCTCAGCTGGACAGAAGGACTCCTAGTTCCCACAGAGTCTCATGTCTTAGGAAATGCACATGTAACTGAGTTTAGAAAGAAAAGCAAAACTCCAAAGGAATTGTGGGTGTAGATTCTGGTGTATGGATGCCTGGGAAGCTCACAAGGTTTCTAAGATAGCTTTACTGGCAAAGCTGTCACCAGCCTAGAGTAAGACAAGATGTAAAATAAAAGGACCCCCAGCTTTCAGCAGGTGGGAAGCAGCTGAGAAGTTCCTCAAGGGTGGATTTCCAGTCCTTTTCTGAAGCGGCTAAGGAGGGTGATGGCAGGATGCTCCCACAGGCAGAGGCAGAACCAAGGAGCCGAGCCACGGCCTCATCAAGACACATGGCCTGTCCCACGTGGGGGAACCTGGGGACCTCTGCCCAGGTGCCGCCCCCTCTCCCCGCTCCATATGGGATCGTCACAACAGTCTGTCTCAGTGTCACCCACATATCGTGGGGATGAAGAGGAACACAGCCCGCCTGAGGGAGACCACACAGCCCTGGTCTCGAAGCCTGAGCCCACGCTTGAAGGAGACCTGTGGGGCCATGGGAGGGTGTGGGTACAGGCTGCCTGTCAGAGAGATGCAGATGACGGAGGGGTGCAGGCGGACCGTGGTTGTGGTCCCAGTTCTCCACCTTCTCTCTGCACCCCTGGCTTTCTTGGGATGCTTCCTCCCATCCCTAGCACCAGGCTCAACTGGGCGACTCGCTTTAGCCAACAAGATGTTTACGGACGATGCAAGCAGAGGCCTCAGCAGGGCTTGCTTGCCTGTGCCTCTAGCCTGGATCTTAGAAGATCAAGCCTGGGTTGGTCCGTGGTCCCAGGAGGAGGATCAGAGATGCACAGAGCAGCCCGCAGCCAGCAGATCCCAGACCAGGGTTGGTGGACACCCAACCTTCCCCACGCAGGTGACTAAGCCGAGCCACATCAACAGCAACCAGTGTTTACCACAATGCACCGCGCAGAGCTTGTAGTAGTTGTTACACAGCATCACCCTACAGCCAGAAAGACAACACGCAATTTGCTATTCTCCGCTCACTGCTGTGTGCTTGCACTGTACTGAGTACATACAGGCTACTGAAATGTCTAACCACAAGGCGGAAATGTATTAAGGACGCATTGCTTATAGCCCTGTTTCATTCAGTGCATCTCCTCCGGGCACACTTCACTGCCGCAGCACCGAAGTCACAGCTACAGAGATGCACAGGAAGTCACACACTCAGTGTCTTTGCCTATCGTGCTGCCTAGCGTGCCGCCTGGGAACCAGCACTGCCCGCGTGCTTCCTCCCGGTGCGGCTGCACCCTCCAAGGTGCGCGTGATGTGAACAGGGAGCAAGTGTGCAGCAAGGGCGACAGGCGGCACTCACCGGTGTGTGAGCGCAGGTGCACGGTGAGCTGGCTGGAGTTGCGGCTGGCGTAGGGGCACAGCTGGCACTTGAAGGGCCGCTCGTCGGAGTGGATCCGCAGGTGCTTGTTGAGGCTGCTGCTGTCGGCGGCCGCGTAGTCGCACGCCCTGCACTTGTAGGGCTTCACGCCCGTGTGGCACCGCATGTGGGTCTTCAGCTTGTCCTTCCGGCTGAAGCACTTGCCGCACACGTCACACTTGTGGGGCTTGTCTCCTTCAAACACACACAGCAGCAGGAAACGCGATTAAACAGGAAAAGGCTACGGCCCAGCGCCTCAGGACACAAGTAAAGTGCTTCCTTAAAAAACTCCAAAGCTGCATGGACCACTGGCAGAGAGCTGGAATGCTGGGAGGGAGGGGTGCCTTGTTCTATTTTGCTTATTGGCATTTTCTAATTTTTTTCCACAATGCACAGCGATTCCTCATTAATTAAAAACAGAGGGCTACTAAGATAACATTTGAAAGTATGGCTAAGTAAAAGAAGAAGCTGCTAACTGTCTCTCGTGCTCAGCTTCTCCTTTTTCCTCTGCAGACACACGCTAACTAAGGCCTCGAAGGCCACATCTCTCAGCCTCACTTGTGGTGAGGTGGGATTCTGTGACGAGTTTTGTCACCGCTATAGCAGAGATGGTGAAAAAGGGAACTGCTTGGTTTTTTTGCTTGTTTTGTTTTGTTTTGCCTCTTTCTTCTTAGCTGTAACTAAGACACAGGTGTGAGAAGGCAGGTAAGGGCATGCAGCACACCTGCATTTAGTGGAATGGTGTAACTTGAGATCCTGTGAGATCTGGCACAGAGCTGCCCACTTGTCCTGCACTAGCTGCTCACCCCCAGACAGCGATGTGAGACAGACACAAACCCAGCTGTCTGAGCTGCTGTTTGGGTCTGTTACAGTAGCTCCACATGGACCTCACCAAGGCCTGGATCACCTTGCCGCCTGTGAACAACTGTGAACTATCTGACATAATTTTCAGATTTTTTTTGGCACAAAAATACCTCTCTGCTAACATCAATTTAAACACTGCCCTTTTAAAAACATTTCTAACCACTTAAAAAAATCATTTATTTGAAAGACACAGCGAGACAGAGAGAGAGAGAGATCAATCGTCTGTCTGCTCGTTCACTCCCCAAATGCTTACAATAGCCAGCAGCCAGGAGCTCAGTCTGGATCTCCCATGTGGGTGGCAGTGATCCAACTACTTGAGTCATCACAGCCTTCCAGGGTGCACACCAGAAGGAAACTGGATGGAAGTGAGTTTGGGATTTGAGTCCAGAGACTGTGATATGAGATGCGAGTTCATTAAATATCCACAGCATGCTTTAGATGGCTGAATTAGTTCACTGTATGAATATGCCTTACATCATTGACCCAATTCTCTACTCGGACAACGAAAGAACGGAACAACTATACATATTGTGTTGGAAAGACATCCAGTGTTAACTGAAAAAAGCCAGTTGCAGTGAAAATGTATAATGTGATACATATACAAGGAGGTGGTACAATGTGACATTGTGGTAACTTAGAAAAGTGGATTGTAAGTTTTGAGTCCTAGAATAGGTAGGCAAAAATATTAAAAAGGCTACACAGTAAACCAAAAAGACTGCTGCTGACTTTTGGCCAAGGGATTAGGAGCAGGTGGGCTGCAACCTTGGATTTTTCAATTCTGGCTTCAGACGTCAACTATGCATTTTGGCCAAATCCTAAAAAGCCAAGTGCCACAACTAACTGTCAGCCAAAGCTGATCACTGTCATCTGCTGGGATTTAAGAATTCATCAGGACTCTTAGTAAAGGTTTTGCTTTTATCATTAGAAATGTCAGTAGTCAAACGAGAAAACCCAGGAACATCACTTCCCAGGGCTGACGGCCGCCCCAGAGGCCCTGGAGTCGCTGCCTGTATCTGCGACGTGGGCAGAGGTTGGAGGGTGCAGGAGCCGGGCGGCTGTCAGCCAGCTCTGCCAGGAAGGACCCCCGTAGCCCCCACGGGCTAAGGTTAAGGTCACTGCTGTCCTCTCGGGAGAGACACCTTCTTGTTAACTTTCGGTCCTAAGGATGTCAAGAGACACTTCCGTGCTACAGAAACTCTCCCATGACACAGGCTGGCTGACTGCGCCAGGGCGCTTTCCGGTCAGCTGCGGAGACTCGAACTCACTGCCCTCCCGTGCTCTTGCAGTGTTTTCCCAGGCATCCCCAGTTCTCAAAGCACTTAGCTTTAGTGATGGTAAACACGACCGCTACAGCTTCAGCGTTGCCCACAGGGAGAGAGAGGTTCACTGCCTGTTATGTTGAACGCTTATGGATCCTTGAAGCTTAACATTTAGACAGACAGAAAAAATCCAGGTGACACGTCACCAAGGCTGACGGTGACCCCAAAGCACCAAGGCACTCATTGATCATGGCCACGGGATACAATCAATAACCATCGGGATACAATCAATAACCATCGGAATACAATCAATACTATCGGAATACAATCACTAACTAGCAGACTTTGGTCCAAGTGAAGCCAAAGCCAGATTCCACTGTGGTGTCCCTCATTTCTCACACTGAGGCTCCCAAATTCACACACGTCTTAAATAGCAGCACTGAATACTCTAAGAAAGGCCTAAAAGTAATTCTTTTCCCATGCAGAAAACTAAGGAAACATAAAAATAAGTTAAAAAAATGAAAATCACCAGAATAATCGACTTTTCCCCTTTGGATTGGATTGATCTTTTTCTCCCCTTTAAAAAAAAGCATTTAACTTTCCCTTTCAAAATCAGAAAAATAACACACACTCATTGTATCCAATGATGCAACGTAAAGAAATGCATAATATTACTATGATTTTTCCTTATTCCTCTACACTTACGCAGATACACACGCACATACATACACATGTGTGTACACACACAGACACCCACGTACACGCACACATCTCGAAATGCAAACACATGCAGTCCAGTTTCCATGAATTGTGGCCGACCCATTTTCTTTTTTCTTTTTTTTAATTTTTTGACAGGCAGAGTGGACAGTGAGAGAGAGAGACAGAGAGAAAGGTCTTTCTTTACCGTTGGTTCACCCTCCAATGGCCGCCGCGGACAGCACGCTGCAGCCGGCGCACCGCGCTGATCCAATGGCAGGAGCCAGGTACTTCTCCTGGTCTCCCATGGGGTGCAGGGCCCAAGCACTTGGGCCGTCCTCCACTGCACTCCCGGGCCACAGCAGAGAGCTGGCCTGGAAGAGGGGCAACCGGGACAGAATCCGGCGCCCCGACCGGGACTAGAACCCGGTGTGCCAGCACTGCAGGAGGAAGATTAGCCTAGTGAGCCGTGGCGCTGGCCATGGCTGACCCATTTTCACAACGGCAGTGGCAGCTCATGTTTCTACTTGCTAGGTTGGCTCACAATCTTCCCTTCAATGCCAGATTTTATGGCTTCATTTTCTGCCAAAATCATGTGTAAAGCAGCATCCTGTTTGTGTTTAATTTGTATTTGTATTCCTGTGACAACCAGCGAGGTTCTGAGTCAACCCAGAGTCCCAGCCCCCGGCAGGGAGCAGGTGTTCAGGGCACCCGGCTGAAGAAGCATCTCATACCTGTGTGAATTTTTAGGTGCCTCTCCATGTCCTTCATGCCGTAGGCAGTCTTGAATTGGCAACCTAAAAACAGTAAAGAAGGAAGAATTAGAAAAGGAAACATGGCCGGCGCCGCGGCTCACTAGGCTAATCCTCCCCCTTGCAGCGCAGGCACACCGGGTTCTAGTCCCGGTTGGGGCGCCGGTTCTGTCCTGGTGCCCCTCTTCCAGGCCAGCCCTCTGCTGTGGCCCAGGAGTGCAGTGGAGGATGGCCCAGGTGCTTGGGCCCTGCACCCCATGGGAGACCAGGAAAAGCACTTGGCTCCTGGCTTTGGATCAGCACCGTGCGCCGCGCGGCCACTGGAGGGTGAACCAACGGTAAAGGAAGACCTTTCTCTCTGTCTCTCTGTCTCTCTCTCTCACTGTCCACTCTGCCTGTCAAAAGAAAAAAAAAAAAAAAAGGAAACATCGTAACTTTAGTGGGGGAAAACTGGCAGAAACTTCTGAGCCAAGTGAGAGAAGTAAACAAGCAAGAGGATGAACAGATCTTGTGGGGCTCTGGGCATGATGCACCAAGAAGAACACAACACCAGTCTTGGGCTTCCACCAAAACCCCCATGCAATCATGTCACACAACCCAAATGAGGTACATCCCGCAGCACAACTGGCTATGCTTTTCAAAAATGCCAAGTTCACACAAGACAAAACCTTAACTGTCCCTGATGAAAGGAAAAAGACACATAAACACTGTTGCAATCAGTGATCCCAGCCGCAGCCTGCACCAGGAGGGAATGTTGTTGTTGTTGTTTTGGACAGGACAAGAGGGGACGGTTGGTGGACTCTGAATATGCCGGCAGATCTGATGAGTAGCATGAACCTTAGTTTCTTGATCTTGATGACTGTGGTTACAGAGAAGAATGTTCTGTCTAGGATACACACGCTGGGGTGCTGGGCAGTAAAAGGAGCCATGACTGCAATTCATGCTCCAGTGATTTGGGGGAGAACACGGGTGGACATAAAAAGACTGACAAAGCGAATACTGTAAATGTTAACACTGGCACTCCAGATGGAGGAGAAAGAGGGGACTTTTGGTGCTGTTTTTGCAACCTTTCTGTGAGTCTGAAATGACTTTCAAATAAAAAGTTTAAAACAAACAGAAGTAAGGATAGAAAAAATAATCTTGGATGTCTTCTTGGAGACATTCCCAGAGGCCTGGAGTTCCCAGTTTCATTTATTTCTTTTTCAATTTTTTAAAGATTTATTTATTTTATTTAAAAGGTAGAGGGAGGGAGGGAGGATGAGAAAGAGAGAGAGAGAAAAAGAGAGAGAGCAATTGATCTTCCATCCATTGATTCATTCCCCAAATGGCCACAAAGGCTGAAGCCTGGAGCCATGAACTTCTTCTGGGTCTCCCCTGAGGATGCAGAGGCCCAAGCACTTGTGCCATCTTCTGCTGCTTTCCCAGGTGCATTATCAGGGAGCTGGATTGAGAGTTGAGCAGACAGGACTTGAACCAGAACTTATATGGGATGCCAATGTCACAGGTGGAAGTTCACCCTGCTGTGCCCCAACGTCAGTGCCCTCAGTTCCTGTGACTGTGAAAGCCTGGGAATGACCAGGACACGTGCTCATGGCAATGCCATGGGCTCTGGTTTGGGGCCAGGCAATGTGGCGCACACCTGCGTCCATTCATGAGAACTCACGAGCCCTGCAATATGATTTCAATGTCACATCCTCTACCATCCCCAGAGGATGTCACACTGCCATTACCTGGATAGCAACAGTTGAGCCTCCGCTGGGCAGGTGGGGTCGCTGGCTTTTTGGTGCGTGTCTTGGCAGGGAGGGAGATGACGGTGGCTGTCTGGTTTTCATTACTTTCCGTGGGCAGATAAGTTTGATAGCCATGTTCAAAAACAAACTCTGGAGCTGAAACTAAAAGATATGGTGGTTACTAATTTTCGTAATATGAAGGCTCCATAGTTACTCCTTTCGCTTAACTTCTTTTTTTAAATGATTTATCTATTTCAAAGGCAGAGTGACAGAGAGAGAGAGAGAGAGAAAGAGAGAGAGAGAGAGAATCTTCCATTTGCTGGTTTACTCCCCAAATGCCCAAAACTGCCAGGGCTGGACCAGGCTGAAGCCAGGAGCCAGGAACTCCATCTGGTCTCCCATGTGGCCATGTGGGTGGCAGGAATCCCAGCACCTGGCCACCATCTGTTTCCTTCCAGGATGCACACGAGGAAGCTTGTCTGGAAGCAGAGAGCCAGGACTCAAATGGGCACTCTGAAACGGGGTGTGGCCACCACAACACCCACCCCTTTCTATCTTGCGTTGCTGCGGGTGAACAAGCTCGCTTGCTTCCCAGGCTCCTTTGCTGCTGAGAGATGACCACATGGCCCAGGTCTGGGCGATGAAACACTAGAGGGCATCCCTGGGGAGGCCTCTATGAAAGATTTTCCTCCCTGATTAAAAAATAAAAAAGAACAGAAAGAGAAGCAGTTGAAGAAAGCTCATTCTGTCCTGGCTGCCCCAGTTCCTGTCCTTGGACACACGAAGGTGAAGATGTGATGCGTGGATCTGTGGCAGCCATTCTTTAACCAAAAAAGAAAAATCTGGAGAATCAATGCCGAGATAGAGCTCTGGAACTACACAAAAGTGGAGAAGAAATGCCCCTATAATTTATAGCATATGCATTTTTTAAATATTTCTTTTATTTACTTGAAAGAGAAAGAGAGAGAAAAAGAGAGAGAGGTCTTCCATCCGCTAGTTCATTCCCCAATTGACCGCAACGACCAGAACTGAGCCGATCCCAAGCCAGGATCCAGGAGCTTCTTCCAGGTCTCCCATGCAGGTGCAGCGGTCCAAGCACTTCAGTCATCTTCCACCGCTTTCCCAGGCACATCAGCAGGGAGCTGGTTTGCAAGTGGAGCAGCTGGGACTTGAACTGGTGCCCATATGGGATGCTGGCACTGTAGGCCAGGGCTTTGACTAGCTGCACCACAGTGCTGGCTCCATTTTTATAACTATTTTATTGTTAGGCACTTCATAAGCTCTAACACAAAACCCTAACAGACTACCAGAAAGGAACTGATGAAAGGAATTTTGGGCAAAATTAGTCTACTTAAATTCTTCTCAGCATAAATTTTACAAATGTGTATGTGCACTCGCGCGTGTGTGCACGCACACCCATGGACTCTTCAAAAAGTTTATGGAGGGGCCAGCACTGTGGCGCAGCAGGTTAAAGCCCCGGCCTGCCGTGCTGGCATTCCCTATGGGCACTGGTTTGAGTCCCAGCTGCTCCACTTTCGAAGCAGCTCCCTGCTGTGGCCTGGGAAAGCAGCAGAGAATGACCCAAGTCCTTGGGCCCCTGGGAGATCCAGATGAAGCTCCTGGCTTTGGGTCGGTGCAGCTCTGGCCTTTCAAACAAATAAATCTTTAAAAAAATGCAAAAGAGACCTAATATGAAATATCATTGTAAGATAAAAGATATAGGGCTAGAAGTTCTTTTTTTGCTTATAAAATTTTTTGGGACTTCTTTGTTAATTGAGTTTATGGTTTGGGGCTTGGGAGTATTTTCTTTCTTCCTTGATATTATCAGAGTCTGAAGTCCCATGGAGATTGCCTTCAAATGAGGGGTGCATGTCAGCAGTGGGGGCTGCTCCCTGGGTGAGTCCTCAGGCTAGAGACCCGGGTGACAACTCTGAGAGTCACTTTCATCGTCTGTTCCCCAACCTTCTGTCACCCAGCCACCAGCTTCGACATCGTTCCCACTCTATTGACAGAATACATTGGTATTAATTTAAATCAACGGAAGCTTCACTTCATCACCTATTTTGGCTTTGCCCCAAGCAATAGGACCCAGACTGCAGGTTTAAGGTGCTATACGTTTTCTGTACCTAAGATGTTACAGACTGAAAGAGGCACCATTATTTTACACATGAGAAAGTGCTGCCCAGTAAGCACATGACGGCACAATGCTCCCATATCCCTTCAGTATTTTATTTGATATTTACTGACAGTGCTCTGCTGGGATGTTGGACGTCTAGGTTCCTGACTGCCATCACTCTGATGTCTCTCGGGTCACACCTGGGCTCCGTATTTGGTGTCTGAGTCAAATCTGGATTTCCATTTCTCAGTGGAAAGGTGCTGAAGGAAGTCAGCTGCCCTCTGTTTAAAGTCAGCAGGAAGAGTCGACAACTGGTGCCCCCTGATGTCCCGGCTTGGACCAAGTCTCTCTGCTGCGTGCATCAGCCGCACCTGCCTCTCGCAGCGACGCTGTCACCCACGCCATGGCACGTGGCTGTTGTTCCAGCTTCCGCTCGCTCTGCTTAGTTCTCAGCGCATGGTCCCCAGCCAGCAGCACGGCAGCGACCTGGGAACTCGTCACGGGTAAGCCCTTGGTCTGCCGAGGCTCGCGTTCTGGGAGTGCCATGCAGAGGACTGGGATACTCACCTGAGCCTGAGAGCCAGCAGCATGGCCATCCTTCTCCACGTATCTCAGCAGGCAAACGTTTTGTGCCCTTCTTGGGGGTCGCCTTGCAAGAACTTGGGACTTTCTTCATTCCTCCAACAACAAACATTTGCTTCCTATTATCAAAGTGACCTCCTGAGCTGGTTCCAGATGCTCCTGGGCACACAGTGCCATCATTGAACTAAATCATCATGCAAGATCTTGGAGGACATTTTGAAAGGTACACACAGTTCCAAAAGCACACAATACGTGATCACAACAGATGTGATCAACTACCCTCAAGTTCGGTCACAAATTTAGGGGACTGTCTGTTGGCTGAGGGCACTCTCATTGGCTTTGAGATACACTGCTGTTCAGATACATTGATACAAAACCACAGGTCAGTCAATGACCACATGGGTGACCACAGGCCGGCTATGGAAGCTCCCTGAGCCTCGGCTTTCTCCCGTGAATGAGGACAGTCACTGTCATGTTGCCAAGGTTAGGGTGCGAGTCCAGCAGCACAGGAAATGCTGCAGTGAGTTCACAAAGAACATCAGCTCCTCCCGCTGAACAGGGCTCGACTGGGGCACTAAACTTTCTTTTTTTTTTTTTTTAAGATTAATTCATTTATTTGAGAGGCAGAGTTATAGAGAGGCAGAGGCAGAGAGAGAGGGAGAGAGAGAGGTCTTTCATCTGCTGGTTCATTCCTCAGATGGCTGTGGTGGCAGAAGTTGTGCAGATCCGAAGCCGGGAGCCAGGAGCTTCTTCCAGGTCTCCCATGTGGGTGCAGGGGCCCAAGCACTTGGGCCATTTTCCACTGCTTTCCCAGGTGCGTTAGCAGGGAGCTGGATCAGAAGTGGAGCAGCCAGGATGCCGGCACCATAGGTGGTGGCTTTACCAGCTACACCACAGCTCTGGCCCCCCCACCAAACTTTGGGAATGCTCAGGCCCCTGGGTGACCAACTGTCCCTGCTTGTCTGGGACTGGAGAGTTTCCCAGGACACAGGATGCTCAATGCTTAAGCCCAGGCTGCTGGGTAACACTAACCAAAGCTCCCAACTTTCTGCTCTATGCCTTTGCACCCAAGAGGCCAGGCCTTCCCTGCAGGTCAGCTCACGGGGTCCCCAGAACCCTCAGGAAGGCCATTGCCAGGTGCCACAACCTCCTGACCCTCCCTCCGCCTCCCTGGAGACCAGCTTGGCTGCTTCTCCTAAATGCCCTCTGCCCCCGCCTTCCCGGGCAAGTCACAGCAGAGAGAAGCCGGGCAGTATCCCCGATCTTAACCCTTTGCAGAGACGTGACTTGCAAACTTCTGTTCCATGGCTTGCCTTGTCATTCGTGGTCTCCTTTGATGCTCAGAGGGCTTAATATCTGATACCGTTCCGTTTGTCTCTTTTCACTTTTGTCGCCAGTGCCTTTGATGTCACTGGGAGGCAGCGGGAAGCACCGCGTGCGGGCAGGTTATACATAGCAAAGGGAAGCAGGTGCCTAATCGCAGGGATTCTTTTCAGGTTGGGACAAATCAGACGCGTGAACTGCCCCAGGGTAGACGGCCATTAGGCCAGGCGGGGCTCGCTCCAGAGCAGGCCCTTCCTTCCCGTGCCTTAGTTTCTCCATCTGTAGAAGGGGAACGATTTTCATTCCCGTCTCTCAGGGCTGCTGTGAGGACCGGAGATCAGGTATGCCAAGCTGTGGTTGCTCTTCTCATTTATTCTTTAATTTTCTCACCGACTACGTATTAAGCACCTTCTGTGTGCCAGGCTGGAGACAAAATCCCCTGTTGTCATGGAGCCAACACGCTGACTGGGAGAGGTGCACGCAGCGAAACGCCACGGAGAATTCCCGGAGGCTGGGACGTGCGATCTTCAGTACGACAGTGCAGTTTGGCCTCAGGGAGAAGGTGGCACTGGATGTGAAACACAGAAGCACCAGAGCCTCGCAGGTCTCTGGAACTCAGTCTCTGGATGGCAGCTTGCGGAGCCCCCATGCTGGCTTTATCAGGGCCGACCCATACCTCCCCTCCCCACACCTTGGCTTCTTCCCAGGATCCTCTGTGAACGGCAGGGCCTGCAGAGACACGCCAGGGAAAGGCTCCTGGTGGCCTTGACCCCTGGGAGGCTGCTGCTGACAGTGACGCCCTCGGCCCCTCTGGGGTTCCTGTGTGAGTGGAGGTGGAGGGTGTGGGAGGCCAGACTGACCCTGCAGCAACTTCTGTCTCATCACTCAGTAGTCCTGGGGCCCTGACCTGGTCAGTTCCCCGCTCTCCAGCTCTCAGACGTCGGTGAAAAGGTATGTTAGCGGTGACCTTGGAGCTTAGACTATTGTTCTGGTAAAGACTCGAGGATGGGGCCGGAGTTGTGGCACAGTGTGTTAAGCCGCCAGCCTGCAGTGCCCACATCCCATATGAGTTCCAGTCCCGGCTGGCTGCTCCACTTTCAGTTCAGCTCTCGCTGGTGTGCCTGGGAGAGCAGCAGAGGAT